ACACACACACACACACACACACACACACACACACACACACACACTCTCCCCTGTGTAACAGGGGCTCGGTTCTCTGGAGGACACTCTTGTTTCAAAGGGCTCCAGCAGGATTCCCTAACAGAACAACATTGTCTGCTTGCACTGTAATAAAAGTGATCTGCTTCATGTCACCAGCCTCTTTCTGTTCATGCTGTTCTCCCGCCTTTTCCCCTTTCCCCCCTGGATCCTTAAGATCTTGCTTGGAGTGTGAGACAAAATCCTTTTAGTTTTTAGAGGCTATCTTGTTTGGACTAGCTTATATTTTAAATGTTTGGCCAGCTTTCCTGACATCCGTAGTGCAACACCGGGGCCACGTTTAACTCTTTTAAACAAGAGTGTGTGTTCTCAAACGCCCGCACTCCTGCACAAAGTGGCCTCATGTCTGGGCTTATGTCTAATCTCTGTGTGTGACTAAAGCAGTTTTCTGCCAGCTCCTGGTCTCAGCACAGCCTGTGTTAGATTTGTCCCAGTCTTGACAGCAGACTTTGTATGGAGATTTAGGAGCAGCCTCTAGTTGTACAAAATAACTTAGAATTTCATTTTTGTTGGCAAGTTGCACAAGAGGAAAGCCAATTCTGCGTTTGATGGTAGTTTGTGCCTGTTTACGGGAAGACCCTATGTCATGGGGTATTGTCAAAGCCACATGTGAAAAGCCACGTCATTGCCAAAGTAAATTTGTCCATATTCTTGTCTCTGTTGTTAGGCCATATCCTGTCCGCACTGGTCTCAGTACAGCATCTTTCTAAAGCGCTAGCACTAATGAAATGCAGCTCGAATTATGATGATTCATATTTTCTTTGACCAGAAGAAGTGGGTTTTTCAACAAAGTGCTTACTTGTCTTATTTCAGGTAACATGCTTGTTATATTCTGTCCACAAGAGGGCAATGGCACACTCGGAAAGGAGTTAAACGTCCAGCTGTTTCACAGCAGGGTGATGTCAAAAAACAGTGCTTAGTGTGGTGACAATATCACACCAGACCAACATGTGGAGAGAAATCCTTGAGCAGGGGAAAGTCCCTCTCTGGGTTTAATGTTCTCATTGTTAGAGAATGATTTGGATTTTGTTTGTGTGTGTGTGTTCATACGATCCAGGTCTTGGTGAGTGAGGACTCGGACGGTGAAGGAGTGGTGGCTCACTTCCCAGCTCACGACAAACCTATATCCTGCATGCAATTCAACCCCAGTGGTAATGCACACACACACACACACACGCTCGTTTTCATGTCTTCGTGAGGACATCTCATTGACATAATGCTTTCCCTAGCCGCTTATCCTAACCATCTTAAATGAATGTCTAACCTTGACCCTCAGCCTAAACCTAACCATAACCCAATTGTAACCCTGACACTCAAACTCGTGGGGACGTCCCCGCAGGTAGAGCAGCATGCCAATTTTCTGTCCTCACAAAGATATGTAAACATGTGCACACACACACTCGTAACTGTTGAAGAAGACTGAACACTCGGTGACCAGAACACTAAAAACAGCACAGCAGTTACACGTCCATTCAAGTGTACGGTAACATATTGTTTGTTTGGCTCACATGTGGCTGCTTCGTCTCGTTTCTTTGGTTGGGCTGGATGTAACCATCCAAGCCAAATTCCAAGTGTGTGTACTCCACTTAAACAAGTGTTTGGCCTGTGTTTCCCCAGCCTCAACAAAGGAAGCACATGTAGATCAGACATTGTATCCCATACGGTAAATGTGTTAGTTATCACTTAATCTTAGAGAGAATGCAGTAAACGAGAAAAGAAAAATAAAATCAATATTTGCCGTGAGCAGCCTTTTCCTTCTAAAGAATTATCTGATTTACTTTAAACTTTTAAACAATCTTGCTAATGTATTTGTAAGCTAGCTTTGCAATCTCCACCTCTGTTGTAGAGATGTGTTTCAAACAGGTTGTGAATGGCACACTGATGCAAGAAGACCAAGCTCTGCATACTTCCAAAACAGGATTTTTACACGAATCACTTTTATTTTGAAGTCTGATCCAAAGTAAACACAATACTTAGGCTGCCTGGAAGAGGCATTTAAACAACTGCTTTAGCAATCTTCATCAGGGACTTTATGTTTTGCGTTCTCCTCGGTATTTGGCAGGTAGGTTGTTCCAAGCATTTGCCCAGTTTTGTCTTTTTATGTAATCTGTTGCTTAAGTTTTTTTCTTTCTTTTGTTTTTAAAAGAAAACCCTTCATCATGGTGCAAAACGAATTCAGTGCAAATCAAATGCTGACTTAATTTGATGTGTTCTGTTTGATTTTTTTGCACCAGTGTTTGTGTTCAATATGTGTTTATTCTTTGTCATTTACGAGCAACACATGACAAATGTGACAAACGAGTCGTCGAGGACCAAAAACACTTGCATTGGTTTAAACATTTTTTTTACCATTGACTTCATTCCACATAGAAAAGGACACTAGAGGCTTTGTACGTGTGAACAGGCTTCGTCATCACTTTCTGTGTGTGATCTTTGCGTGTATGTTTCTGTTACTCCTGCTGTGTGTGTATGTGTGCAAGTTAATAAAGAAGCTGCTGAGAGATGACTCTAACCCTGTGACCTCTAAGCTCCAGGAATCCTTGACTTACTTAGACTTATGACTAAACTTAGCAGCTCCATCTCAGGAGGTTTAAGATCATATTTTAGACAAAGACAAGCCAGACATGGTTGTCTTAACCCCACATTCTCCTACCTGCTGTCAACAAAATCACATATATTACCCATCTATGCGGCTAAGCTACTAAATATGTGCTTATATTTTTTCCCATTAGGATATTAGGATACTTATCTTAAGGAGCTAAAAAGGTTGCTAAGAAGTAAAGCTTAGGATAAGTAGTTGCTCTTGATATTGTGCTCCTCCCCTTAAAAAAACAACAAAAACCAACAAAAACCCCACAAACAAACATTGACTTTGACCACCGACACTACTAAAAGCTTGTTTTGTTCCCAAATCATTTATTGAAGGCCGACAGACCAACTTTATCTGGCTTTGATGTAATGTGATCATGATCAAGTGAAATATTTAAGTTGACCATTTGATAACCCGTGCCAGGATTTGCCAGAATAATGATTTTTGAAGTCATGCAAACAGAAATGGCGCCAAGAGAAGCCAAAAAAACTGATCAATGGCCATTGACAGAGAGTTGGGGAATGGCTGCAATCACAGCATTGTAAGACTGTGAAAGATGTACCCTTAGGCCCCCTCCTCGATTCAGAGATGGTCGTTCATCAATGGTCATGCCAATTTGCATATTACTGATCATGAAACTGGCCTCACAGCCCATTGCTAGTTTCAGTCATTAATCAAATGTACTGTTTGTAAGGTTGGGGTGAAGATGAAGACTCATCCTCAGTTGGATGAGTGGTGAAATGTTTCTTCCACTGAAAACGTTCAGGATTTCCTTAACCGGATAATTGAGCATGCATCAGGACATTGTGTTTCTGTGTTTAGACTGTCACTCTTTTTTATTTTGGTAATTGTTTGTCTTCTGCGTCTTGTTCCTAGTTTTACTTCCCCTGTCTTGTTAGCCTTAATTAGTCTCAGCTGTTGTTTGTTCCCCACCTGTGTCTTTATTCATCCTTTGTTCCATTGTGTCCCTGTGTGTGTCCCTGTGTGT